GCTGCCGCCATGTCGTGAAGGCGCTGTGTGTTTCGTTGTGAAAGCGAAACTACTTTGTTTGGCCTTCCAAAAATGGACACGACTAGAAATCAGTGGTTAAGTTGTATTTACAACACTGTTCCAGAACAGTTCAAACCAAATATTCAGATGTGTGCAGTTGCATTTTATGGAGGATGAGGACTGTTTCCTGATCCTGGTAGAGTAGACTACAATGCCGGCTGTTCTGACTCAAAGACTGTAAGTGCGTTTTTTTATATTTAAAGAGTTTTTATGAGTTTTTATATTTTATATTTAAAGCGAGTTTTTTGGGCAGTGTAGAGTTTACAGTGTAGAGTTTTAGAGTTTTTTTTGGGCAGTGTTGTTTGTCATTTCTCTGATCACAAATGCAGACATGGTTTTATGTTTACGCGGCGCGATGCAAAGCAACGCGTAAAAAGACAGTATAAGTCATTATAATCCATAATTATGTCCCCACTGGATGCAACGAATGCCTCGTTTATAATGGGTTTTCATGTTTTTGAATCATCGCTCCGGCCTGACAGGGCAACATCACAGTATGGTAGGGGCGTAACATTTCCGTCACACGCTTGAGGTATTCGGCCAATCACAACGCACTGGATAGCTGGCCAATCACAGCACACCTTTCTTTTCAGACCGATGAGCTTTGTAAAAAATCGGCGTGTTTCAGAAAGGTGGGGCATAGAGGAGAAACAATAATGTACAGTATGTGGAAAATAATGTGTTTTTTTAACCTTAAACCGCATAAACACATTTCATTACACCAAATACACAAAATAATGTTCTTTTTAGCAACATCATATGACCCCTTTAAAGTTCATTTTATTTCAAGTAACAATGTTAAGTAAATGGTTTTTTAAATGGTTTTAATTTTAGTTAACTATAATAACATTGATGACAATACCATTGAATGTACTGATATAAAAGAGTGACATCTGAACAATAACAAGCTAAATTATGGCAGATTACAGAGATTTTACTGTTGTTTATTGCTGAATATGAAGCAGCTTTTTGTGCATCAAATTTCTGAACATGTGCATAAAAATATTTCACAAACTTTGAAGTTTTAAGGACATGTTCATATAAAGACGTACCTACAACCACGCGGGTGGAGAGTGACTGATTCATGCAGTGAGCGGCAGACAGGACGAAGTACTCGTTTAAGATGGTGCCACCACAGAAGCCAATGTTGTCTTCATTAATAAGAAGAGCCTGAGAGAACGTAAGATGTCAACGATAACACACTAAAACTGGCACATTTCATATTTCCAAAAAACTCAAGTAAGGTTTCATGCAAAAGAAGACTAAAACTGAGAAAAACTCAATTATAAGTTTCTACCTGCCATGGACAATCTCCAGGAAGACAGTTCACACCGTTCACGATTCTCGTGTTTCCCTCAGATGATTCAGGCAGAACTAGTTGCTCCTCCACTGGATTCATGATCTCCTGCTTGAGGAGGCCGAACATGCCTTTTGTCTCATTGCTGGGAGGGTTTGTGAAATCTACGACAGGCTCAACAGTGGTCTCTACATGCGTTTCCTCTTCATTCTCAGTGTTGTTGATGTGTATGTTTAAGATGCTTCTGGTCTTCTGAGGATGGACGGTGCCACATTTGAAAGGATCTAAAACAGAAAGTTTTTTGAACTGAGGATAATCAGTGGATAAACATCTCTCCTACATCAGAATATCATTTACCATGAGAAAGACACAACTTCCCGTTAGAGGCCAGCTGGTAGCCTTTAGCACATGAACAGGCGATGTTATTCTGCTGTACCCTGCAAAAATGATCACAGCCTCCATTTTCACTCTCACAGAGCGCAGGAATAACTGCAACAAGACACAGAGGAGAGAAACTCAACAGCATTGATGGTTTGATGGTCTGTTGTGTGATTACTGAACAACATGAGGCTCTTTACCAATCTCACAGTTGTAGCCCTTAAACCCTTGTTGACAGAAACAAGTGTATGGCCCGATCGTATCTTTACACTCGCCGTCATTGAGACATGGGTGGGACAAACACGCATCTCCATCTGAACAAACACCAAACACACAAGCACTCATATCAAGACTGACTTTACCATTTAAACCAAACTGAACCAAAGGATTGTTACAGACTCACCAACATACACGTGCCAGAACTCATCCTGAGAGAAAATAGATGAACACATCCATCAGATGAAATAAGCACACTTAACATACTCATGCACTTTGATTTATTTGAATTGCATTTATTTTGATGTTTGTTTTCATTGGAATAGTCCTTAGTAAGCTTAGATGCCATATTGAATTTAACACAGATGAAAATGAGGCTGTGAGGGATAGACTTACAGTACTTATAATGGTACGCGCTGTATAAAGGCCATAGATCATGTCATTTTCACAACTCTCAACTGTTTTTATGTAGTGTTTTTCAACTTTTTCGGAAAGACATTTCGTTAGCTGAACAATTGGTATGTCGTTAAACAACAGTTAAATCCACTGTATTTAAGTCCCTCACAGCCTTGTTTTCATTCCTGTCAAAAATTAAATATGCCTCTATCCTAACTGAAGTCTCTATCAGCCTCATTCATCATCATTACATTTATGGTTTAGAATTTGTATCTAAGTTTAGCTTATATTGAAATGAAACCATCATGCTTTCATATGTGGTTATTTTAGTTGCAAAAATTCTCATATAACATTTTCATCAGATGGTTCAGACAGAACTAAGTTTCTCATACAGTCTTGATCTGTGTTTGATTATACTGGTTATGCCAAGTTCAATAATTCAACTCTGTTATGAGGACAAACATAGTGACAATAGTTGCTAGTTATTAGCAGTGACATTTTGACATTAAACATGTTTTGAAAAATAATTGGTTATCATTGTTTATTGTTTATGAGTGAATTTACTTATTAACTCAAATTATAAGCAGATAAGCTCTAAAAGATGAATACTGAGGGAATCGTACACATCACTATGTTTCCATCCTAAGTTGCAAATTTAACTTATATGTGCAAAATTAGAATATCACATAAAACATTTGCGAATAAAGCACTGTTTCCATCCCATGTGTTCAAGAGAACAAAATAGTCACTGCCTTGGAAACTGGCACAAAGTATTAATAACAAAAATTTAAGTTGCTGAAACTGGTGAAGACTGTGTTTTTTATTTCCTACATTATAAATTACTTGCTCCAGACAAAACGCATTAACAAACTCTGTCATGTTCCCTTTCGAACGTTCACTTCACGTTGTGTATGGGGGACAACTCCTGTTTACCCTGGTACTGAAGCCTGATTTGTTAACGTTTGTGTAGCTGCACAAACCAATGGGGGGGGGGAGCCAACCTCTATATAAGTCGGCTCAGAGCGCCATTTCATTAGAATCTTCTCGCGAGTGCAGAAACCCCTTGTACCAGTCCACTTCCACCAGAAGTGGCAGAAACAGCGGAGCAGCAGGTCTCATCCATCAGGCTCGAGTGAACTCACCTCGGCTTGGCACCCATGTGCTTCGCGCTCTCTCCAAAATGCCTCGTCTCGTGCTTCACACAGGAAAAACAACGCCCCTCGTCAGCTGCGAGCGGCTTGATTTCTTTCTGCGCGTCCGAGGAAGAGGTTGCTGTCGACGACTCGATGTCCTTGACAGCGAAGATCCCGAAGTCCCAGCTCTGTCTACATGGCTGAGCATGGACTCAGAACTGATCCGGGTTCTGACAAGGGCTGTGGAGGAACTCGGCCTTGATTGGGTGGCCCCGGAAGAGCCCGCCCTCTGCCTCCTCGACGAGTGGTTCTTAAAGGGTCATCGTCAACCATCCTCCTGACAGCGGCCAGCTCCGTTTATGCCTGCGGTCCACGACGAGCTCACTAAAACATGGCGGACTCCGTACTCAGCGCGTTAACCCTTCTACTACAGCTGCTCTCACCACCTTTGACGGCGCTGAAGAGAAAAGGTACAGCAAGCTCCCCCCTCTTAGATGGCGCATCCATCTAAGCCCTGCAGGTTGACGTCCTCCTTGGCCAACAGGGATTATGCAGCGGCTGGCCGGACCGGCTTAGCCCTGCATACGATGTCGGTGCTCCAGGTATTTCAGGCCAAACTTCTCTGTGATATGCACGAGTCTGGCCGGAATCCTAGAGTCTTCATTGAGTTGCGCACAGCATCTGATTTGGCCCTGCGCACTACCAAGTTGACTGCTCAGGCGATCGGCAAGGCCATGGCCAGTCTGGTGGTGCTGGAGTGCCACCTATGGCTCAACCTCACGGAGATAAGGGACGCCGAGAAGATGGCCTTCCTTGACTCCCAAGTCTCACCCAAGGGACTGTTCGGGCCTGCCGTGGACGAGTTCACGAAGCATTTTAATGAGGCTCAAAAGACGTCGCAAGTGCTGCATCATTTTCTGACTAAGTGCCCCAGCTCAGCAGCTGTTACCTCGTCAGGTAGCCTCGTCCTCGCGTAGTGCTGGACCCAGAGCTGCAGAAGCCGTCCTGATCAGAAAGCAGAGAGGAAGAGGAGAGGGCTAGTTCTCGCCCAGGCCGGAACGCCCTTGAAGAAAGCTTGAGATCATTCCCCACCTCTTCGAATCCTTCCGAGCGGTGGAGTTTTTTCAGTGGGACACGTCCTGCATGCCCAACGAGTGTCCCAACAAACTACCACTGTGATAGCAGACCCACATACTCAAAAGAGCATTTCTCCTCTCCCTATAACCACAAGTGTCAGCTCCCCATCCCCACATAGCGATCTGCCACTAATAAAAATAGAACAGCTTGGAAAGCCATTTCCGGAGTCGCAAGTTGGATTTTAAAAGTCATAGAACGAGGGTACTTGCTTCAGTTCGCTCAAAGGCCGCCTCGCTTCAGAGGCATCATTCGGACTTCGGTACTGGACAACGAAGCACATGTTATTCAGGCCGAAGTAAACACACTGCTTGCGAGGGACGCTATAGAACAGGTCCCCTTAGTGGACAGTGAGTGGGGTGTTTACAGCCACTACTTCTTCATTCCCAAGAAAGATGGTGGGCTCAGACCAATTCTCGATCTCAGAAGTGTGAATCCTGCTCTCATGAGACGGCCGTTCAGAATATTAACTTTGAAACAGATCCTCGTGCAAATTTGTCCCGAGGACTGGTTTCTGACTCTGGATTTGAAAGGATTCAAACTCTGGATTGTACTTTCATATCCAGATAGCCCCCAGTCACAGACTGTTCTTGAGATTTGCATTCGAGGGAATGGCCTATCAATATACAGTCCTGCCTTTCGAAATGCGTGAACGTGGCTCTTTCCCCTCTGAGACAGATGGGAATCCGCATTTTGAACTACCTCGACGACTGGTTAGTATTAGCCAGGTCAGAATGGGAACTTATCGTTCACATGTCGTTGTTGCTCAACCATCTGGAGCGTCTTGGGTTGATTCAACCAAATTCAACCAAAAGTTTTCTGACTCCCAGACAACGAGTCACGACAGATGCCTCCAGCTTGGGCTGGGGCGCTTTGTACGAGGGCAATCCGGCATTCGGCTCCTCGTCGATCCACGAGCAATGCCTACACATCAACTATCTCAAAATGATGGCTTTTTATCTGGCCCTAAATACCTTCCTGTCAGCCTTAAATGGGCAAAACGTCCTGGTCCGTTTGAACAACACGACTGTGATAGCCTATATCAGTTGCCAAGGTGGCCTCAGGTCACGTCCCCCTATACAGGATGACTGTAAACAGGTGTATCCTGTTTTAGGCACAGAGTAAACTCCTCTCAGTAAGAGCGGTTCATGTGCCCTGCAAACTGAACCAAGGTGCAGACATGCTGCCCAGGGATAATGAAGCCCCAGGAGAGTGGGGACTACATCCCCAGTCGGTACATATGATTTGGTCAGTCTTCGGCAAGGCAGAGGTGGACCTCTACGCCTCCGAAGACAACTGTTAATGCCCAATCTATTTCTCAACAAAGTGGGAAGCTCTGGCCCACGATTGGCCCAACACCCGTCTCTCTGCATTCCCTCTGATCGCTCTGTTCCCTCGGGTTATCAGGCAAGTCAGGGAAATGAATTGTTCTCTCCTTCTGGTGGCCCCAACCTGGAGGAACCAGGCTTGGTTCCCAGAGATGTTTCAGGGGACCTGGTGGAGAGACAGACCCAGCTGAGAGAGCGGAGAGCCGCGCTGGAAACATCCCGGGCTGACGCTCACAAGTCCGGGGTAAGTATACAGCGCGCTGCTAACTCTCCCACCACCTCTACTCCGTGTGTTTCTCTGCACAGGCCCAGTGCACCCAGGACGCGATCTTCCCAGATGCCCTTCACTCCGGACGTGAAAAGCGCTATACAAATAAACTTGAATTGAATTGAATTTAATCAATTGAGCGCATATGTTTTTTATGCAATTTTATTTTAAGTTTATGTGCATCGTGGCGGAAACAGCTGATGTCTGTGACCGTTATGACTGTTTTTTTGGGCCTAAGGTGGTACATATGATTTCCTGAATGTTTTCAATAAAGTACTTTTAAAAATAAACCAATAAACTGAATAAGCAAACCACTGACCGTCTTTTTAACATCCTCAAAGATTTCTCTGGCTTCCTCATAACTGCAGCGCTCCTCAACACACTCACGCTCCATGTTTCCCTTTTTCATCTCCTCAAACATGGAGTTGGCGCGCCTGCGCCGGCTCAGGACCTGACTGGCATCTTGAGTGTGGAGGAAGACTAGAGAAACACATGACATCCTCATTATCATCAAAGCCTTCCTCTTCCAGAGACTGATAGCAGCAGAAGAGCTGAGTGTTGAGAAATAAACCAAACCCATTAATACAGTTAAACTCACTCTGACATTGATTAGACCTTAAAGAACAAACATTCAGGTCAGAAACAGAGAAATATGAGTCATTCTGAATCTGCAGTCTGTTCATTCGAGACGACACACTCACCTTCTGAGTTCACACAGTGTATTAGAAACAAGAAAAGAAAATTCCAGAAGACCCAAGACATTGTCTTTTGTCAGCGTTCAGCTCTTTCACATTAGAGGATCGTTCAGAAAACAAACAGAAAGTCAATGAACTGAATGCTGGGAGAGAGAGACACAGGAACAAGGGGAGGAGAAACTGACAAGAGGACAAAGTGAAAAGCACCAACATTTGCTCAAATAAAGAGTCAACTGTGACGTTGTTTACTCTTACGACATGTGATATTTCAGTTTAGAACTCAATAAACTACATGAATCCTCTCTGATGAATTCATGATGTTCTCTACACAAACACAAGAGATTTGAGAACCGCAGCCAAGCAGAAGATTATCAGGGAATAACTTCGGCTCTTTTTCTCACACAAAACATTGGAAGTCAGAAGACATGAATATAGTGCAGAAGACAGAAGTGCAGAGTGCAGTCCTCACGAACACGTTTCAATAATGTCAGTGATTCATTAAGTGTCTAATGGTAATGCATTTACTTTTATTTATTTAGCAGATGCTTTTATGGAAAACAACTTACAAATGAGGAATACAAGTGAATGATCTTAAAGAGCAGGTGATGCAATGGTGTTAAAACAAGTGAAAAACCGCCTCTTTGTCAATAGTTTAATCATCTAAATATTTTCTGTCCTCTTTAAAGTTCACAGAGATGAAGATGAGCTGTTAACTTTCTTTTATTGGAATATCTGAACTTTATCTGTATTTTATACAGACTAACATAATGTTCACAAAATGTGCAGAACATCTCACATCTGACCCTACACAGGGTCACGTCTGATATATGATTAGACCAGAGCAACATCTGCACAAAAAAATCAATGCGGTTTCAGTTAATGACTGCCTAACTGTCCCTCAAACATGCCTGAATGAGCCCTAAAACCTAAACGCATGAAGATCAGATGCATGAATGACAAAAACACACATAAACAAACTCAAAGTGATGGTTTTATTTCAAAGCTCATCACATTAACCTCTGGTAGAGACATTATTTGTGAGTGGATGGCTTAAATGGGGATCCACTGATATTCAGTGGTTCGATGGGTGTTTTCATAATCATCTCAAGCCATTTCAAAAAGTTGGCCACTTTGGTGTAAATCCCATAGTTCCCAGGCTGACTGCAGCCTTTACCCCACGACACGACGCCCGTCAGGAAGGACGTTCCCTCGTAGCGTGTGACGAGCGGACTGCCATCATGTCCTCTGCAGGACTCGTGGCTGCCCTCAGTGTACCCTGCGCAGAACATGTTTGCAGAGATGTTAACGCCACTCTTCACTACACACTGTGATGTGGGAAACAGAGGGACAGCCAGCCGCTGCAGTGTGGCGGATGATTGGGCTTTAAGGCCTTTGGACGGATGGATGTTGTCCCCTGGGGTTCGCTTGCCCCATCCGCTAAGTGTGTGGAAGCGGACGACCGCAAGCTCACTCTGTGCCAGGTGTGGTGTGGGGAGGCAAACAGGCACGGTGTACACTGAGCGCTTGGGTTCTTCACGTAGCTGTAGGAGGGCCAAGTCACTATCCAGTGACACAGGGTCATAGTTCTCATGGATAACCACACGAGCGACATTATACGCCTCCTCTGAGCCGTCCATCACATCCAGGTCATGATCACCTGAGGACAAACCAACTTTACAGCTGAAAATGAAGTTGTTTCACTGTTATTTTTCTGTTTATTTCTGTGAAGCTGCTTTGAAATACTGGTATTGTTTAAAGCAGTGTTTCCCAACCTTTTTTTAGTCGCGGCACCCTTTGGAAATTTTAACAAATTTGTGGCATCCTACAAAATTAATTTTTGTATTTAATTAAAATATTTGAATTTCTAACTTCGATATACTTTGAAAAGTGTAGATATTCGGTACAGCAGGGAAGAACTGCAGAATATACTGTCATACAGATATTTTTAATATTATTAAAAAAAA